CGTATGTATGAATCATACCCACGGTCTGATATCCTACGGACAACATTGGGAACCTTAATTGAACAATCCTCAGAATGCTAGAAATAAAGTTCCAAATGTTATTTTAACACGAGGAACGTTATTATGTAAGTGTAGGACCAAGTACTAGATCCTATTATTCCAATAATTGACATTCTCCAAGAATGTGGTAGCACGCTACCTACCCAAAACAATTATTTGGGTCTTGCACAAAAAAAGTACTACCTTAAAAACGAGGGAGAAGAGGATGCCTCCCTTGCTAACTTTCAGACTGTTAAGCAGAGCATTCAGGACATTAAATTGAAGCAAAAACTGCAGTCCTTATTTCTGCATAGCATATGTTGCTAACATTTGGAATGTTAAATTAATGTTCCAAACCCCTTAATTAACAAAAGTTCAATAGTTATTTTATGGTGTGTAGTAACAGGAAGTACTAGAGAATTCACAACTAAAGTACTATGATGGTGAAACAACCAGCACCAACACAATGATGCTTAAACTAAAGAAAACATTTCCCAAATAAGAACAAAAATATTCTATGTGTTCTTTGTTGAAATTACTACCATGAGAAACAAGAAGGATGTTCTTTATCCTCCTGATAAATTTGTTCTGCTGTTTCTCCTTGTTCTTTCACAGCAGACACACAGACAGCCACACAGACACACAGACACACACACAGACACACACACACAGCACAGACACAGACACAGAGACACAGACACAGAGACACAGACACACAGACACAGAGACACAGACACAGAGACACAGACACAGAGACACAGACACACAGACACAGAGACACAGACACAGAGACACAGACACAGACAGACACACAGACACAGACACAGACAGACACACACACACAGACACACAGACACAGACACAGACACACACACCGCAAAAGACCTAATCTGTTACCACCACGTTCTGAAACTAAAATTGGGGCTAAACTAGTCTTCCTCAAAAACGTATCGAGGGCCCTACTGTACACGAGCTCTTCTAGTAGTACGAAGTACGTACTACAGTACGTCCTTTACCAGTCTACCGCACAAGTGGAGGCTGATGAAAGCATACGAAAGAATTTTAATTCCGTCTGGGTGGAACGGAATGCCCCGTTATCGATTGTAGCAACGAAAGACAAGAAAGCAGTCTCTACAAGAAGTATCGAAGATATTGGAGTATTACCGTATGATATGATCCTAAATATCCTTCATTCTGTTCCAAACTAAAAGTCCCTTGCCTGTGCACATCATTTCCAGTTGTTTGGTAGTCGATGTACTGTTGATTTTCTGATTCTAGAAAGGACTGAAGCGAAAATCTTAGTGGCGATTTACTTTTTGGTGTGGTCGCTGTGCTTGATTGCACTAACATCTACCCAAGAGCCATGACCAAAGACTCAGGGATGAACCGTGCGAAGTTATTTCTGGTGCTGACAATTTTGCTGTTGTCGACACAGCCATCGGACGGCGAGCCGTTTCTAGTTTCGAGTCAATCCGCACTGCCATGCGATTCGGGTCTCTTTCGGTTTGGTGCCGCCCAGAGCAACGGAAATTACAGTCGACGAACGAGCATCCACCGCGGGCAATATTCCTTGGTGTCGGATCGGCGGCAGCGACAAAGATATTTCGCAAGATCCAGCAATGGAATACGGATGAGAAGTCTTTTGTCACGCATCGGATCGATGCTCGGTTCAAAAGAGTCCCTCAACGCAAAAACGCAGAATTTCCGCTTCTTCGCATCCACCAGCCAACATGTCCGACCGGACCGTAGCATTCCCTCCGCATTAACTTCAGAAGATGCCTTCTCATCACAGTCGATGGTGCACGGGAAGATACGGAAACGGCCCCGGTGGCTCAGATTTCCCAAGGTCACAAGCGATCAAATACGAAAGTTTTCTTCCGTTGTGCAATACACCGCTATTGCGGTCATATGCTTCGAGTTGTTTTTTGTGCTCAAGGATGTGTTCGATGAGGTCCTCAACGATCTGCAAGATTTAGAAAACCGCGACGCTCATTCACGGAAAACCAATTCCGGCAGCGGTGACTTTGGGAACAACCGGAAGGTCTTGTCGAAACATTCGGTGAAAAAGATCGTTGATTGGCTCGAACAGAAAGGAGCCGATCGTCTACCTCCGCCCAGCGTTGCCCCTGCATGGACGTTGGCAATGGCACAAGAACTATACAAATGCAACAGCTTGTCTCTCGCAGGGGTCGAGAGAATCCTCTTGCAAATCACAAATGCAGAAGCAGAATTTCTCGGTTCGTGTCTTCTCTCGTCCGACAACATGGCGGACGTGAATGACGACATCGGAGGTCTTTTTGCCGCGAAATCTGCATACCACCAGCTGCTCGTGTCCTCCCTCTCTGCCTGGAGGGACTCTTGCGATGACCCATCCGTGAATAGGAATTCGTCGCCGTACACGAAATTTGTTGCAAAGGGGAACAGCAACAATGGCATGGTTTTGTGGGGTCCTCCGGGCTCTGGAAAGTCCCTCCTGCTCCGTGCGATTGCCAAGAGTTCTGGCTTGCCAACTCTGATGGTCACACCGGCCTTGATGCAGCGGACAAAGAGTCTCGAGGTGCTGTTCTCGTTGATCGAGACCCTTGGATCTTGTGCAGTGGTCCTCGACGACCTGGACGGGCTGTTTCTGGTGCCGCAAGGGAACGAGAATGCTTCCACAAGAAATTTCAGGAGCGAGTGGCTGCAGCGATGGGACGATGTTTCTGCGAGGCCGTCGTCTTCCGACGGCCGTGGCCTTTCGAAAAGGTGTGTGCTGACGGTGGCTGCTACGAACCGTCCATGGGACGTGGACATTGCCGCGTGGAGACGCCTTCCGAATCGAATCTACATCGGATTGCCCAACGCGGAAGACCGATGCGACATGCTGAAAAAATGGTCCAGGGATCTCCCACCCATCGATGACTCGGTGTTGCAAGAGCTGGTCGGTGCCACGGAAGGCTATCTTCCATCGGATCTGTACCAGGTCCTCCACTATGCCTGCCAAGTGGGACCCGTGGCACGCCGGGACAAGCAGCTAACGATCGAGGACGTCCGTGTCGGGCTTTCGGGGCTCATGCCCTCTCGATACTCTTCGCAGTACGTCCAGCAACTGCAGGAGTTTGTGGGCGGCGGGAACGGATCTGCCGGAAGGGCCCAGCAGCAGCAGCAACAACAACAACAGCAAGGGCGGCAGCACGGGCAGCAACCACCCGGCGGCCGCCAGGAGAACGATTTCATGAGCTCGATCGAAGCCCTGCCGTACCGCGAAGAGGGATACTGCTGGCAGACCCCGGGTGGGAACTATTACCAGTTTCAAATCCCCGTCGATTCGCAGGTGTTGGAGGCCATCCAAACCATATTGCTGCACAGGTTCGAGTGGGGGCCGGGAGAGGAAGAGTGGGATGCTAGCGACTGCTACGACGAGGAGGAAGACGACGACTATGACGGACTATGATTTGTTTGACGAGCAACGTCGAGGCTCATTGGCGAGCTGCTATTGTGGCAGGCAAACACGACCGGCAGCGGTTCGGTGGCCGAACCCGAACAAGACAGCACGAAACGATCGATCCTGCCGTAGTACCGTACGGCAGTTTCAAACACGTTGCTTCTTTTGTCTCGAGACGGACGATTCCCTGCTTTCGGAATAAACAGCACACGTACTCTGATCGGCCTGCGTACTACAGTAGCGCAGACAGCTTTTGCGTGGATGCCCGAGGCCTGCGTGCATGCGGCCGCGGGTTTTGGTCCCCGCCGTTTTCCGATCGGATCGGGCAGGGTCTGTCTGTATGCATGTCTCTGTGCATGCATGCATGCACGTATGTATGCGTCCCGTTGTTTTACGATTACAACACGCCACTACTTTAATTCATCAACATTAGTTATTACTGTACTACTTTCGTTACAAGGACACCATCGGTGCCGGCGAAGATCCACCGCCGCGTTTCGTTGCGTTGCGTTTTGTTTCGTTTCGCTGCGTTGCGCTTTTTCACGAGCAATTGATCCGCATAATGTCGTCCAGGCCGTCCTCGAGGACGTGCAGGAATTCCCGGTGCGGTCCCCCGCTTCCACGAAGACTCGTCTCGGATTGGCAGGCCCCGGACCGCAGAACATCCGTAACGTCCTCCGGGCACCGCGTCGACTGGATTGCGAGGTCCAGGGGGGTCTGGGAGTGAAAGTTCCGGAGGCCCTGGGCCCCCGGGCAGGCGGAACAAATGGCGCGGACGATGGCAGAAGACCGGGCGTACCGGACCGCCAGGTGGAGGGGGTAGTTCCCCTTGCGGTCGGCGACCCCCGCGCAGGCCGGGTTGGCGGAGAGGAGGAGGTCGACGAGGAAGAGGTCGCACCGCTGGAGGGAGAGGAGGATTCCCAGCGCCGAGGCCCTTGAGGTCCCGTCCTTTTGGGCCAGGACGTCGGGGCCGGCTTCGACCAGGGTTCGCAGGACGGCCTCGCTGGCCCCGCTGGCGAGCGCGAGGTTGATCGGGTAGCCGTACATGCCGCTGTTGGTGGTGTTGGTGTTGGTTTTGTTGCTGGTGGTGTTGCTGTTGCTGTTGTTGCTGCTGTTGTTGCTAGTGTGGGTTCCGGCGTCGCCGGTGACCACCACCGACCTCCGGACGGCGTCCGGGTCGACCCGGAGCGCGGTTTCCACGACCGCCCGGGAGTTGGGAAAGAGCAGGCAGGACCGGTGCAGGAGGCTGTCGTCCGCCGAGCACCCCTCGTGGAGGATGCTTTCGTCCGCGCTCGAAGGGACGACGACCGGGGCGGCCCCCTTGCCCGACAGGGACCGCGCCGACGACTCCCTCCAGGCGGACTGGGAGAGGCTCTGCTCCCGGGACCGCAGCAGGAGGTCCTGCAAGCGGCTCGTTTTTGGCCCGGGACAAGGGGGGCCTTTTTCGTTGCGTTCTTGCTTGCGTTCTTGTTCTTGCTCGCGTTCTTGTTCTTGCTCGTGGCCGAGGGGAGGAGGAGGATTCCTCCTCTTGCGCAAAAAGGGGTTCCCGAGGACCGGTGCCTGGGGCGCGGCCTTGTTCCAGGCCGCGTTGGCCCTCCCGGAGGCCCCCTCCCGCTCTGCGCCCGGGGAAACGATCGCCAGCCCGTTGGCGATCACCGCTTCGGTGCTCTGGAAGCGGAAGGAAGACGAAGACGAAGACCTTGGGTGGTGGCCGATGCGGTGGTGGCTCTTGCTGTGGCCGTGGCCGATGCCGTGGCTTTTGCTGTGGCGGTTGCTGTGGCCGATGCTGTTGCGGTTGCCGTGGATGGGGTGGTGCTTGGTGTACCTGGCCCCGAGGGCCCGGGCCAGGAGGCCGTCGCTGTGGCTCTGCTTCATGGCCAGCGAAGAACCCACCCTGCGCGCCTTGGCGGGGGGCGGGTCCCCCTGCCTGGGGGAGAGCGAGCGGTGTTTCTGTCTCTGCCTCTGCGCCGGAATCTGCGTGTGTGCCTCTGGGCCCGCTCCGCACCACCACGGAAGGGGACCACCGTTGGCTTGCTGCTCCGAAGCAAGGTGGGAATCCACACCACAACCCCGCTGCTTCCGAACGGCGTCGTTGAGCTCGTCGGACCGAAAGAGGGCCGGGTCCAGCAGAAAGACGCTGGCGTGGGTGGTCTTGTGGTTCGCGTTGGCGTTGGCGTTCGCGTTCGCTATGCCCACCGACGAGAGGCAATGGCTCTCGCCAAAGGGATCGGCGCAGCCCTCGGAGAGGTCGTCCTCGAGCCCCAGGACCAGCGTCAGGTCGTCCGTGTCAAGGTCCCGGAGGATTGGGAGTCCGGCGTCTTGCAGCTTCTGGGGGTGCATCGTTTCGCAGCGGGCTTTGTCTTGTATTGTCTTGTGGTTGTCTTGTGGTTGTGGTTGTCTTGTGGTTGTCGTTGTCTTGTGGTTGTGTTGTGTTGGTACACCCGGTGTGTTTTGTTTTCGGTGTTTGGGTCGGTGGAGCTGTGACGACGGTGCGATACTGTACTATGAGGAACAAAGGGGAAGCGTCTGCTGTGTGAGTGGGAAAGAGAAACCACGGCGGCGAGCGTAGCAGGCAGCGATGATATGGCACGCTTGTTTTTTGCACCAAAAATCGCGGGGAGATCTCTTCGAGGCGGAAGAGAACAAACAGAACAAGCAGAGCTCGCTCGCCGGACGGGACGGGACGGAATGGGACGGGGGTTGCCGTGCGACTTACGTTGCTGCCGTACAATGAAACGAAACGCAGCACAATAATACAATGGACCGGAATGGAATGGAATGGATCTCGCCGATCGGAAACCAAAACGGGGCCCGGGCGTTCGAAGGAAGGAACACGCGAACACACAAAAACAAAACACGAGGGTTGCTGTGTGACTTGCGTGGCTTCCGTACAAGAATTTCGGCAGCCGAAACGCGGTGGTGGTGTGTGTTTGTTTCTTTGTTAGTTTGTTTGTTTTGCTCTTCTTCCAAGATTGCTAATTTACGGTTTGCACACTATTGCTTCTCGACACCAGGTACCGGAAAAAATACCTCGGCCTGCTCCCTTCCTGCCCCGTTGGCATTTTTTCCTCGCTTTTTTGGCTCCCGGGGGTCTTCGAAGAAAGAAGTGATCCTATATTTCCTTCGTTTGGAACGTTCCTGGTAATGCGAAACTGCTTCTTAAGTAATGGGAACGTCAAGGGACCTTCTAATTATCATGTTCGGGGAACGACCATTCTTTTTGTGATTCATTCGTTCTGGATGCAATAATGCATCATCGGAACCGGTCATTTATTGCTCTTCGCCAATAATCTGAAAACAAAAAATGTCTATTTGTTCTCGAATCAATCCAGGGCACTACTGTTAATAGCTAAAAGATAATACCCATATTGCAGTAACTGTGTATCATTCTCTGCAAAGATATATGGAAAACGTCCATAATTAATACGCTTTCAGTGGGATTGAGAAGAGGCCGGCGTCAAAGGAATCGAAGACGCAGGGGTGCGTATAGTACCAGAAATTGTACAGCAGGTACTCGTAGAAAGAAGCGAAGGCGCGTGCTGACGTGCATCGGTGTTCGTTGGTGCCTGCCATAGAGTTCTTCGGTTCCACACAAGTTACGGTACGGTACGGTACGGTACTACCGTAGGATGCATGGAAGCAAGACAACACGCACTGTGCGTGCGTCCGGAGTTCTGTACGGTACAGTACAGCACGTGCGTACACGTGCGCACTCTTTCCTGCTTTCCACGCACGGGTAAGAAGAAAACACTCCTGCACAATACGGTACGGTATTTATGGTACAGACCCTACGCTCACAGGGCACTGCGATGTGCACGTGGACGGAGTTATGATGGCATCCCATTCCGGGACGCAGTGATGGCATCCCATTCAAACATCGAAGTACTTGGTACTGTACCGTACGAACGAACGGTACGCCCTATTACGTACTGGAAAAATGAATCGAACTATCGTACTACGAAGTACGTACTTTACTACGTAACTCATTGCGACACTCCGATACATCCGTACCATACATACATACCCTTACTACCATACTATCCAAACAAATGATATCACCATATGGTACATATATAGAATATAGATATCATACCCCTGTCCAGTTTCGTTCCTGATTCCTGGTTCCTGGGTAGAAGTACGGTATGTTTTGAGAGCGGCACTGGACAACGGTGTGTACAGTACAGTACGGTACGTAGGTACAAGCACTCGTACCGTAAGTTGTTCGTACAAAGAAGGATTTGCTCTCCCGAACCACGCCACGAAGGGGAAGGCCACACAGAAACGGCCGACGTCCTTTTTGGGCGGAGGAACGACCCGACCCGACCCGACCCGACCAGCGCATCGAGAACAGCCGCACCGGCAGCACCACGAGCAGCAGCAGCAGCAGCAGCAGCAAGCACCACCACTGCCCCCGGCCCGCGGGTGGTCCCAGAGCCGGACGCGGCGGTCTGCCCGGGCGGGGGAAGAAGGATGCATCCCTCTGGCGGAAGCGGCGGGCTGCCGGAAGAAAACAAAACAAACGAACGAACGAACGAACGAACCCCTTTCGAGTATTCCCACGGCGGGTCGGACAAGGGGGTTTCTTTCACGAGGCAAGGCGGGAGTCCCCTCCCACGGAAGCGACCGGGGAAAGCCGAGCCGAGCCGAGCCGAGCCGAGCCGAGCCGAGAAAGGGCGCCGGTGGCGGTGCGAAGCGGCAGGGGTGCTTCCGCTCGCTCCTTGGGCCGAAGCCCGCGGGCTCTCGGGCCGGCTCGCTCGCTCGTTCGTTGCGTGGGTTTGGTGGGTTGGTTGGTTCGGTGGCGGGCGAAGGCTCCTTTCCTCCCCGCACGGGAAGCCCCACCTGCACACCACCACGACCAAGACTGTTCGATGCGATGGGAAATCAAGGAACCAACGAGCTGCAACTGCACCGAATCCACGCGCGAAAGCCAAGGCCGTTCCTATAATTTCTATACGCCACACAGTATTCGGGTCGCATTTTCTAGATACAAGTCATTGTGGAAGCAACTGCAATCAAATTGGACGAAGAAGTCATCGGAACATCGTTTGACATTTAATACAAGTTAAGCTCGAGCGTGTGCTATCAAGTAGTCGAAGAGCATGGATTTGGGAAACAGGCATGATTTTGAGGACCGCCCGGTCGTACGACGAATCTTTGAGAAGGAAACATGAACAATGTTGCACTGTCCATCTGCATTGTCCCTACACAGCAGTTCCACACTTGGCTGCGGGGAGATCATTCAGCCAACAACAATATTGCCAGCGTTCACAACTCTTGCAATCAGTAGTCTGATTCATCAGCGCATGCTTCTCGCTGGAAGATGAGCGAAATCACCATCGTTCAACCACCATGTGTCAACTTTGAACTTGATCCTACCGACCTCTTTGCCGTTTTTTAATAGAGCCTCGTCGAAGACGTGGTGTAAAGGTACAATTTCAGCGTAGCTGTCGGCTAATCCAATTGCAGAGGATGCCTTTTCTGAGCTCCGTGGAGAGAATGTAACCGAGCTGGTTCGTCCTCTCATTTCTTTTGAGCTACGTTCGCTCAGAGTGAAAAGAGAAGCTTCTGTTATTTTCATAACAGATTCGCTCATTCGCTTTAATCGCTCCTTGAACGATGGTGAATTATATCCTCCGAAAGTATTGTTAGAAGAATTAGATTCTCGTTTCTCGTTGTCGGAAGAAGTTATCAGCGATGCCAAATTCAAGGTACAAGATCCTATTAAAGTAACGAAATCTCTCGCATCGTGTACCAAGATATGTAGCATGGCGCCCGTCAAATCGACCGGAGATCCACAGTCCAAATGCGTCTGGATCGCGATGGCGATTTCTTTGTCCCACCTGGGACAATAAGTGTTTCCAATCGTTGTTGTTTGTGGCCATTTGGATACACTTTGAGCGCGAAATCTACCCGCACTTTTTTGATACCAGACCTTAAACCTATTCATCTTGTTTTCCGACGTCATCGCATCGGTCGGTGTAGAAACGAGCGTCACGCGCGGACTAGGGGGATGAGACGAAGTCGAATCGTCTTGAGCGATTTCACAACTGATCGACGACAAAAACATGTGGAACTTTTCACTATGCACTTGGTTGGATTTCTGCTTCGCCATTTTCGCACGTTTCTGTTTACTGGTGGATAACTTCTTGACTTTTCTCACTAGGGCCGAGGTACTACTAATGAGTGCCATGCTTTTCTTATACCTTTTTGTCAGTATTGGCCTGGACTTTAATTTTTGGTTCAGCTGAATTTCGTATGCACCACGAACAGGTTTGTGATCGGATGTTGTAAAACGATCGATAGGTCCATATGCCAGAAGGTCGATCATTGGCGCTAGACGATGATTTGCTTTGTACAATATTCGATCGGTGTAAGATGGGGACCGTTTCGAAACATAGCTGTAACCATCTTTCCTGTCCACCTTAAAAGTGGGAGGGAAATCACATCGCGGAGTCGAGAAACCAACGAAGCATTCTTTTTCTCTTAAAGCAAAAGACAACTCATCATATTTGTTCAAAGCATCCCAGTCCTTCATTTCTGCTAGCTTGTGCGCCTCTTTCAAGTGCTCATCCGATCCTATTGCGTGATTCGGCAGCCTGGTGCGAAAATTTAGATCACCCATAGCGAACATAAAATGACTAGTCATGGAAACGTCACAACAATATGAATCGAGGAGCGAGGATGCCGTGCCCTTCAAAATATCTCCGATGGTTGAACACCTCGTGTTGTATTTCGACAAACCCTCATGGGCTTCTAGATGTGCGGTCAAAAACGAGATTCTTGTACCCGAATCAATTTCGCATTCGGCCACAATGCCACCCTTGTTGGCAAGGCCAGCCCTACCGGTATTCTGCGCTTTGACACTGAGAACATCCAAAGAAATCTCGTCATCATCGTAGAAAATCATGAGTCTCATCTGCCCACGCTGATACGATACGGCTCGAGTATAGCCAGGTAAATGATTGCCCAACATTTGATGCAAAAATTCCGTATCAGCTTGCACTTTTCCACCGTCTAAATCGCTTTTAAGCTCTTCCTCCTTCTCCCTCAAGGAAGAGTCTCTATCGTACAGGGGCGATATAAGTTCCTTGAATTTTGCGCTCGATGGCCTTCCCTGACTGTTGTGATCCTGATCTTTGGTTACTTGCTCCACAGCATTTGTAACTTTTTGGAATTTTCCTTTCAGCGATTTTGTTGCCTCTCTCAGCTCAAACGTTGCTTCTTGCATTCCAATTGCAATTATGTGGAACTTTGCGTCGTCGTTGTCGTCACCTTCATTGGCTCCTTTGGTCTCGTCGACGATCATTTTGTTTGTGCTTGTGCCATGCTTCGCCTTGATAGGGTATTCTTGGTTCTGTAGCACCAAGTTTGTAGCACCACTTTTCGGTATCCACTCACTGATCGATTCTTCGTTAGGTTCTTCATTACCCATGTTGGCTGTACAGACCAAGACCTTAATCTTCATACTAGTATTGGGCCCACATTGAAGCAGCGAAAGGCGGCTGGCATTATTTTTTGATTTCATTATCTATGGAGAATTGAGAGAATGTGTCGTATACCCATGCACATTCGGCAATCGCGTTCACAATGAAACGGGAACTATGCTGTTACGGTTTCTTGTTTCTCTTCGGTTAGTTTCCGAGAGATTAAATTAAAGGAGACGAAGGACAAGCAATTTGGAGATCTAAGGCTATTTCTGCACAGCGACGTGTTGTGAAACATAAGGGGTGTCAGAAAACATTTTTTTGAAATGCCCGACATAGAGGTGAACATCTACGGTACAAAAACAACAATTTCTAGTACCGTACGTACGGAGGCCTCTTCAAAAATACCTTTAGACTGTGATGACATCGACTCTTTTTCCTTATCTTGCGAGAACGTTGAAGAGCTAGCTTCATCGTTTTGTACACGAAGTATTAAGTCTGGTACTATGGAACAGTGTGCCCCGCTCTTGATTATGATAAGTACGTACCACTGCCTAGAACAAATATTAAGATAGGCTTGTGTTTGTTACAATGCGAAGAAACGAAATTAAAAAATAGCCCTCTGCAGAAATTCAACGGAATTTTCTTTCGCCAAGAACTCTGAGTATGGCAATAATTTTTTTGTCGGTCCGAGAAACACAACGCGTGTTTCGTCGAGAAGTGTTTCTCACACACGAATTTGGCCACCAGCCAACAACTCTGACTTTGGCAAACTATTCCAGGCGAGGTCCTACTAGTAAGCATCCTACAAGTAGGATTTCTTTCTATCACATCAACCCCAAAGAAGTCAAGCAAGAAGAACTCCACCATCACTTGTTGTTGTTGTTCCAGCAGCTGTTGCACCAGTTGTTGTTCCCGCAGTTGTTGTTGTTGTTCCCCCAGTTGTTGTTGTTGTTCCAGTTGTTGTTGTTCCAGTTTTTATTCTAGTTGTTGTTGTTGTTGTTGTTGTTGTTCCAGTTGTTGCAGCACCACAAGTACTAGTGCACCTAGTACTAAATGTACTACTACTACTAGTACTATGACAATCGCCCACCACTGAGCAAATTTTCAAGTAATAGCCTGTGATAATAAATCCTAAGCAGTAAGGATCACTATTAGAAGTATTTAAGGACAGCTTTTTTTTTTGAGGAGAGGGATACGCTAAATAAAGACGAGAAAATGAGAAGATTTGACAACCGACTTGCCAAGTACTTCGTACTTGACATGATTGCGCTTGAACTAAGGAGCTAGAGTGAACGAGAGAACTCATGTCTCCTATGCTTAATGATTCCAAATACATTGATGGTGACTACATAAGTGTTTTGTAAAATTTTTAGATTCACTTTACATATTTTTAACATATATTATCGTTCTGTATTGTTTGTACACATCATCGATTAAAGATCAAGATAGCAATATTCCTTCTCTTCCCGAGAAGTTAAAACCCAACCACATTGTCGGGGTTCGTTTAAGAAAGATTTCCTCCAACATATCCGGACTTGGCATCCAAAGCCTTCTTTTGCTCCTCGGCCTTCTTGTGCAACATGAATAAATATCCAGCAAGGGCAAAGAAACCAACACCAAAGAACCAAGCGGCAACGACAGACATGCTGGGGCCACGGAKGGACTTCATTGCCTTGTTGAGTTGAGGGAGGATGGTGTGGATCATTTCGCATCCGCTCGTGTCCTTGTAAGTGGTCTTGACGTTCGATTCACACTTGAGTGCTTCTTCGTAAAGGTCTTCGCAAACTTCATTGATCCCGTTGTTGTTGTTGTCGTAGTTATAGTTATTGTTGTTGTTGTTGTTGTTGTTGTTGTTATTGTTGTTGTCGTTGTCATATTGGTTTGCTTTGCAGGACAAGCAAGTAGAGGAAACCAAAGGCGTGGTAGGAAGACTGTATCCATAGTTGATTTTCTCGTACGTTCCCTTAGGAGCGTGCTTGGTGCAGGCCGGGTCCGTGAAGATTCCGGCGTAAACACCAGACGAGGTGCAGTAGGCTCCAGTGTAGTACTGAACATATGAGTTGCCGTTGGCGTAGTAGTTTTGGTTGTTGTTGTTGTTTTGTCCTTCAACTTCCAAGGCTCTGCATTCGGCGAATTCCTGGATATCCATTTGTCCTTCTTCCTCTCCCTCGATACAGTAGTCCAAGCCATCTTCCAACAAGCAAGAGTTCAAACAGTAATCTTCGTTGTTGTTGTTGTTATTGTTGTTGTTATTGTTGTTGTTTTGGTTGTTGTAGTTACCGTTGTAGTTGTTGCCATTGCCATCGGCATTGTAGTTTTGGTAGTTGTACTGACCGTTTTGGCACTTGTATTCACAAGTTTCCTTGGCGGTCTCGCACTCGTACTCTTGAGATTCCTTCAAGGCATTCTGGTAAGTTTCAACGAACTCTCTCATTTCAACAACGTATTCTCCGGCATTGTGGCACGACGAACAGCTGTTCTTTGGGCAAAGCTTGAACTTTGCGACGAGGTTACTGGTGAGGCCCTCTTCTCTCTCGAACATGGGGATGGCAGCGCAACCATCGAATTTCAGAGCGGCATCACCGATCCACGAGCTGATAGATTTTCAAAAAATAACATGGCACTCAATCATTAGACTAGGTTCTATTGTGTATGAAAAATAATGTTTGTCTGTGCCTCGCGGTCCGTTACACTTACTAGTAGTTGTTGTTGCCGTTCTCGAGCTTACGAGCCTTTCCCATCAGCGATTGTCCGCTTTTGGAGCTAGCTCGGATTCCGTCGAAACCTGCGGCGGGGGATGCCATGGCGAGGAGAGTGATAGCAACAGAGAATTTCATGGTTATAAGTATGTAGAGGTGTTTGTTACACTAGGAGATCGATTTCGATATTATGAGAGTTTGGCATCAAGTGCCCAGTGATGGTTCGAAAACGCGTGACTTCCACACACCCGCTAAAATTAAGCGAAACAAGAGCACAACATAAAGGCCGTCACGTTCGCTGAATTTCGAAGTTCTTGCTATTGGAGTTTCATCGGCATTGGACCAGCGATACTTGCGCGCCTGCATAACATAAATGATGCCTCAACGGTCATTAAAAATCAGACTTGCTTTTTTTCGCAAAAATGATTAATAGTTCCACGATTGAGTGAGTCGCGGATGGCGAGAAAATCGGAGTTACATTTTTCGCAACTTGGCATTTAGGCGATTTTATTCATCACGAAGTAAATCCGAGTTGCCACAAGAGGAACGAATAGTCGAACGCTGTGGATCGGATATGTTTGTACCGGTCACTAGCACTGAAATGACCTGCTGCCATGTCTGTTTGTAGGCAAATTGGTCGGTTTTCGTCGTCGTTCGATACTCCATGTCGTAGACTTGCAGTATATTTGAGTGGCTCCCAGTAAGCAACGCGTGGGTCATAGAGTCCCGCTTTTATCAGGCAACTGGGATACTCTACACCGGCTTGGATATTATTCATCGGGCTATAATCCATCATGTATTGAAAGAAATACTCCTCGTTTGGATTTCCCCATTCTTCCCACTCTCCCGCGGTGAGAGGAATCGAAGCGTCGGCCATAGTGGCTACCAAATCAACAAACGGAACACCTAATAAAGCTACACGAAAAAGATCCGGAGCTTGATTCAAGACGGAACCTATGGTCAAACCACCCGCAGACCTTCCTTCGCAAGACATTAAACTTGGAGTGGTCCAGCTTTTAGTTTCGACGAAGTGACGACCTACGTCGATGAAGTCATTGAACGTATTCGTTTTCATCAAGAACTTGCCATTCTCGTACCACTGCCTGCCTAGCTCACCGCCGCCTCGGACATGTGCGATCGCGTATATGATACCACGATTGACTAATGTCATTCGAACAGAAGAGAAAGTGTCCTCGATGCTCTCACCGTAAGCGCCATATGCATAAAGATGGAGCGGAACGTAAGATTGGGGTAAAATTGCTTGTTCCATCGTCGATTTCAAGTAGACCAAGGATACTGGGATTTCAGTCTTGCCGTCACGGGAAGTAACGGTTATTCGATCACAAACATATCTGTCACTTTCATAGTTTGGGGTAGGTTTCGTCATCACAATTATTCGCTTGTCGTTATTGGAAGGTTCACGGAGGTCTACTTGCACGTATTGCAAGGGAGTCGTCTTGCAAGATGACAAAGTAGGGTGAGAAATGCTCGAACACAAAATTGCAGCGAAAGGAAATCAAATTCCTGTTTCCAATCGTATGGATTACTTACAAGAGACTCATAATTGACCAATATAGAGGATGCATTATAATTTTCATTATAACCCATACCAATAGAATATGCGGGCTCGGCATTCCACTTCAACTGTTCCAGGCGGATAACATTAGAATCATCATCAACTTCGGCGACCCATAGTTGCATTAAACCATTAATACGACCTTGAATCACTAAATATTTCTCGAATACATCAAAACCCTCAATCGGAATCCCATCGAGCAAGGGTTTGCCGCTCTTTGGGTCCGTAAGACGTGACCATTCCGAGTCATCGTTAACTTTCGATTTCCAGAGTTGCATGTCGCTACCGGTTCCAACATTTGAATTTATCAACCAGTTACCTTTGTAGTGTTCAACATAGTACGTAGTGTCTGGTATTCGATCGGCAATAATCAAAGGCGACTTTGAAAAAGTAGATCCTACCGAAATGTCAATATAATGAACTTCACTTGACTCGAAGGAACCATTGTAGATGAGTAAGTAGTTTTCATCAGCTGTCTTGCCAATGCCTACGTAGTACAAGCTTTCCAGTTCTTCAAAAATCAGCTCTTCTTCTGACACTTTTTCGTTTACGAATGTTCGACAAAAGACTTGATAAGGACGCCCCGCCTCATCTGTTTTTGTGTAAAACAGTGTTATATCGTCGGTGCCCCATACAATGTCGTTGCTGATAATTATTGGTGAACCACTACCGTCGTTCTGAGAATCCTCTATTCGAAGACTGTCTCCATTGTCGAATCGTTGGATAATCAGTTCGTAGAATTCATTCCCTTGCGTGTCAACCGTGTACGCCACCAGATCTCCGGAGGGCGAAATTTCTAGTGATCCAACATCGAAATATTCGAAACCATCGGCTAGTTTGTTTTCGTCGAGATACACAACTTCATTTGGGAGTATCGGTGTGGATTGCGATCCGTCCCAAAGAGTAAGATATTTTTTCAGAAAATTAGCATAGAATTCACTTTTGTTCTCATTGTCACTTGGTGGTGGCAAAGGCTTTGGAGCTCTCACATGCAATGGATAAGGCTTTCCTTTAATAGTTCGTCGGTAATAGTAATAATCCCCTATCAGATTCGGAAAAGAATGAGAAGTTTCTAGCATGAAGGATTTCATTTCGTTGTACAACGACTCTTTCAATTTCTTCAAGTGTTTTGTTTTGGATTCGGTGTATTCGTTGTTGTCTTTCAAATGCCGCAGGACCTCTGGATTCGATCGAGTCTCATCACGCATCCAACCATAAGGATCATTCACGGCTATGGGGGGATTGATAAGTGGATGTGGAGAATCTACGGCCTGTCGTGGAACCTGCATATCCCACCCCGGAGGTGGCGCGCCTGCATAAATTACCCGGTCTTCTTCTCTGCGTGCAATTGGTGGATGTTTGTTGCCCTTTGAGGGAAAAAATCCGGAATAATAAACACTGCATATTCCTATCAATATTGCAACGGCCAATATGAGTTTAGCTTTATTGGAACGCTTATTACATCGGTAGTGATATTTCAAGAACTCGGCAAATTGAAGACAATTGATACTCCTTGGTTTTGTTGCTTTGGAATCCTCCGATATTTCTCTTCCATTCAAAGCTTCGAGTTCATCTAACTCTGTTCCTTCCAACTCAAACGCTAAACGAGTATCCCTGGACGTCATTTTGTTATTACTATTGTGGTCAGTCTGTCGTCATTACTGTATTACTTTAGGAAAAGCGCTACTGTCTTGCGAAAAAATCAGATTACAGTGATTCGAACTGAAATTTCAAACCGGTTTTGTTTGCAAGGACTCTCATATTTTTTGTACCGTACACGTATTTCTGCTACGGGATTTATTCAGGACTCGACATTAAGTAGCTATTTACCGGTACATGGTACGAAGTGCAACGAGCGTCGGTCCCACGAGAGCGCAGGTGATAGCGTGAGACCAAACGGCATATATATGAGAACCGAGCCAACCGACCCCTTTTGGACATTCCAGATCAAGTCCCRGATCAAGGGTACAGAATCCCAATCGAACAGATTCACTTCTCCTTTGCATACCTTTACTTTCTAGCTTAATCCATAATATTTATAATTCACCCAAATTACGTACTTCGATCACATAGTTGGTGCATAGTAATTACTAAACTCAAGATACGTGAAACACTAAGACGGAAGGAAGACACCATGTCGCAATCTAGACTGCTATCCAATTCCTGCTTGTCTATCAAGCCTCCATTCAAGACAGATGACCTATCCACCAGGAACCTCCACGTCTACACCATGGCGGACGATGACGCCCTAGTAGCCAGGAAAATAAGCAGGCAATGTTCAGTTTTCTCCGGACAACATGGAGTGCAGGAACTAATGCATGTGGAGGAGGAGTTCCTGGATATATGCAATGACTTAGAAATAAACGACAAACACAGACACTTGAAGTGGAAGGAACTATTAGAACATGGCCCCAGGAAGAAGTGGCTTGGCCTTTGGAAAGAGCCGGATCCAATTACGGCCTCCAAGGAAACGAATAAAGGCTTCCGCGAAGCTTTGAATGCTTATTACAAAGAATACTCCCCCGACAGGRAGTCTCGCGATGCTGTAATCCAGTATCTACAGTCTGATAAGATACTGAAGCCAATAAARGCTTCAGTACAAGCCCACGTCGATGCAATCCTTTTATGCTGTGAACGAGCYAATCGTCTACACGGTGTAAGAGGACCTTTAGCAAGCTCAGAAATGAAACAGATAGTCTTCAACGCCTTTCCCAGAGAGTGGAGAGTCAACTACAAGCAAAGCGCTCAAGACATCAGGACTGACAACATACAGGGAATAGTAGCTTACATGACCGATCAAAAAGGAATAGCAGACGAAGCGGCTGAACACAGCCAGAGATCTAGCAGGAAAAGAGATCTACAGGGAGGTCGAGGACGTACTAACAACAGAGGAAATCAGGGACAAGGACAAGGTAGAGGACGAGGCGGCAACCAACACAACTCCGCTAAACGACAGCAACAGATGGATGCAAAAATGAATGAGCCCTGCCGCATGCACAACGGAGCCCATCGGTGGGGAGATTGCCCATCCAACTGGAGAAACCAACAGCACTCCCACCAGGGCAGAGGCCAAGGCCGTGGAGGCCGCAGCAGTGGCTCCTTTCGAGGC